CTCTCTCTCTCTCACACACACACACACACACACACACACACACGTGTCCATTCAGCTGGACTCAATTCCCAAAAGAATCGATTCTTCACTTCTGGCGTGTTCAGAATCCACTCCAGGGAATCTATTTCTATGAAGATTCAAATGCTTTCCCCAAAAAGTTCTTGCACTTTTTTGTTTAATGTTTAACTTATTTTACTCTGAAAGCATTCAACCCACATATCTAGTGTTTAATAAAGCATGCATATTAATGCGATTATCAAGCAAATATTATCAAAACTGTCTTTTTTTTTGGGACAATAGAACTGTTATTTATCAAAGCTTGTTTTCGACACAGGATTTAAAAAAAGGCAATTGCAACTTTTTATCCCACAGTTTATTTGATCTTTTGCAATTCTGACTTTTCTTCTCAGAATTTTGACAATATAAATTCAGAATTGTGAGATAAAAAGTCGCAATTGTCTCTATTTAATTTTGCAGTGAAACAAAAAAAAACAGAATTGTGATATATAAACTCAGAATTGCAAAATGTAACCTCGGAATTGCTAGAAAAAAAATCTGAATTCTGAGTTTACATCTCACAATTCTCTTTTGTTTGTTTCTGTCATGGAATAACTTGGAAATGACTTTATCTCGCAATTCTGAGAAAAAAGTTAGAATTGTGAAATAAAAAGTCACACATTTTTTAAAATGTATTTATTATTTTATTCTTTGGCAGAAATGGGCTCATTGTTCGTTATTTTAAATAAAACTATAAATGTCATTGCAGTTTGTTCATATATTTTGTACAACTGTATATTTTCTGAGCACTTTAGGGAATTAAATTATATCAACAATGACTTTTTGTAAGACACAAGAAGCGATTCTTAAACCTGGAATCAGAGTAGCACTGTAACGACTTGTTGTGCCTGACCCAGGTGCATTGTGGGACGCTGGCTCTGTATTTGACGGTAAGTCAGCGCTTGCATGAGCTGCCAGCACATGATCGCATGCAGATGTTTAGCAGGATGTTCACGCTGTTCATGACAGGCTGTGAAGCTGCTCCAGAAACACTATAAAGCATCATAACTGTGTCCGTATATTCCTCAGATTCTTTAATGCATTTGAGTTTGGAACGACTTTTCTTCCAGGATGAATTATTCCTTTCTACCTGTAAACAGCTTGGTTTCTATTAAACTGGTTTTATCCGAGGACACAAATGAATCGCTCTTTATTCCCTGCAGGCGTCTGCGGCGGTGAACTCAATTACGTCTGATGGGGAAGAATGCACAGAGACCTTTACATCCATTTATATTCCACATGAGCGTCACGTCTCTGTGTTTCACTCTCTTCAAAGCTCCGGCTGTGACTCCTCGAGTCTGTCCTGAGTTTACAGAGGTCAGAGGTCACCTGTGATGAGGTCGTGAACGGTGTAAATGTTCGATTTTTCGGCTCGGCTCGTCTCACTGGGACTTCACATTAGTCACATTACAGCCCCGCCCACAGGAGGACTGACATGTACAGCGGCCAATCACAGTTTGCTGCTCTCATGTGACATTTAGAGGCAGGTAAATATAGTTCAAGAGAAACATCCATTTATGTTGTGATGAAGACATTTTAAAAATGTGAAAATTGTGTGTGTGTGTGTGTGAGAGAGAGTGTATGCATGTGTAGTGAGTGAGTGTCTGTATATGTGTGTGTGTGTGTCTGTATATGTGTGTGTTTATATGAGCCTGTGTGTGTGTGTTTATATGAGCCTGTATGTGTGTGTGTGTGTGTTTGTGAGTGAGTGTCTGTATATGTGTGTGTGTGTGTGTGTCTCACCGAGTGTCGGGTCGTACTCCCAGATGAATCGTTTGGTCAGGAATCGAACCACCAGAGCTGCACAGACACACAGAGAGAAAGCGACGCTGTGAGACTCAGTGAGGATGAAGGTAAGAGTCAGAACACCACATAACGGAGTGACCGTCTCAGGTCAGTTCAACCGTCCCTGCTGCTGTCTGAAGAATCTTACCACACAAACATCAACCATCACTATATTCATATTCATATTCATATTCATTTAATCCTGATACAGATGGAGTGAATTCACTGTAACACCGTGTCTACACCCTACAGTAGAACCCATTATAATCAGTGATGCTGTCTGCACTGACGCGTCACGACAAATCCCCGACAGTAAACTGATGCATCGTTCTATTTATGATGCACTGACACAAAATACAAGTCTCGTCCGGTGTAGACGCGGTGTAAGAGTCGTGCCGTCAGAGTTGTTTATTTGTGTTTGTAATAGAGCCGATTTTCCAGCGCTGTTGGTTCCGGAAGTATTTTTTCCATTCCCTTTTCCCTTTGGGATTTAAAAAAAGTCTTTAAAAGTTATAAGCCATGAACCAGCGCTGTGCTTCTGCTGAAAACACTGACTTGAATGCGCATGACGCAGATACAGCACAGATATGAGTTTGGGGTGGATGTGGGTGTTGTGAATGAGATTGAGTGAATCTCAGCTCGGCAGAAGCTGAATGAGTGCGGCTCTTTTGTGCTGCTGTCTGAAATAATGAGCGTGTGGGGGAGCTGGTGACCTTCATTCACGTCCTCTCCATCCTGCGCTTGAAGACTGAACGAAAATAGCGGCGGCACTGCGGCCCACAGAGACGCGCGTGAATTCTCTTTCACTGGAGGTCAGGCCTCAGTCGAGCGTTTCACATGCAAACAAACGAGCGCAGTGAATCCATTACATAAAGGAGCTCAGATTTCATCTGCTTCCACTTAAAGCATCCTGCAGGAATGTGTGTGCGTGTGTGTGTGAGTGTGTGTGTGTGTGTGTATGTGTGTGAGTGCGTGTGTCTGTGAGTGTGTGTGAGTGTGTGTGTGTGTGTGTTCAGCGTCTGCCCAAAACCTCCAGACGAGGAAATGAATGGCAGTGCAAACATAAAACAAAACAAATGTTACATAATATGAGAGTGAATGGCATGTACGGCATTCGTTCATCTAGTTAGGGTTTTAGTCATTTTTTTGTGTGCGTGTTTGCTTTTATACAGTTTTATTTTATAATTGTTTTATTTATTAGTTTTAGTTATTTTAGTACTTAAATTGAACGAAAGTACAATTTAGAAAGTTTTTATCTTTTCAAATAATAAAATGTATAATAAATTAAATTCAAGTTTTATTTAAAATAATAAAATGCATAATAAGTTAATATAAAATAATAAAATATATAAGTTTATTATAAAATAAGTTTAAGCTAAACTTTATATCAGTTCATGTTTTTGTTGTAAATTTTATTTCAAAGGACTAGTTCACCCCAAAAATAATCATCTTCTTCTTTTCATCTTTTTCTTAAAGATAGCTTTTGTTTTTGTTCGTACAGTGGAAGTCAATGGGGTCCAATGTTGTTTGGTTCCCAACATTTTTATGGTGTATGTAATGATATGGATTGAAATCGAAATCTAAAGACACAAAAGATAAAGTGTAATAAAATAAACACTTTGTGGATGTTTTTTGGTATTTTGGATGTTTAAACCCTTTGGGGCGAAACCGGGCGAGAGTGAGGAATAGTCTGAGAAATCACTTTCGAGAGAAGAGATGGTTTTGTCTTTTACAAAAAAAAATTTTTTTGTAGCTTAAAGATTACTGGAGTACGTTTTACGAGAAAATACAATTTCAATCGTTCTACTTCAAAATGTCAGGTTCAATTCAATGTTTCCTGCCGTTTCTTTGTTTGTGTAATTTGTTTCTAAACCAATTTTTTTTTTCAGTGTAAATACTGTCGATGTCTGTTTGAGTGCTTTAAATTAAACACTTTGTGGAGTTTAGGTGCTTAGGTGTTTAGGAACTTTCAGATATACGTGTTTTTACCGGAGAAAATCAGTCTAGTGTTGCTGATGACATCATCTGGTCCTCAGAGGCGGGGCCTAAAAGGAGAACTTCCCTCATCCTAAAAACAGCTAGAACTCTCAGTTAGAGTCTTTCAGCTGGCGTCTGTGTTTGTTTACACAATGCTGTTTCTTTATCATCCTGACACATTTGTTTTGTCTTTGTAGGACGGATCTGTCGACCTTCAGTGAAGGCGTGTGTCGTGTCTCTCTCTCTGATCGCTGGACTGATTCTGACGGGACGCACGGGTCGTTCTGTGTGTTGTGTTTGGGTTTGGTGACGCGTCGTGTGCTATTTTAAGGCCAGACTTCACGGTCATGAATCATTGTGTTTGACCCACATTTCTCCATCGTCAGGTCAAGAGACTAGAGCAGATAGACAGCTGATTGATCGCATGGTGAAAGTGCCTCTATATGAAGAATAAGAGGTGGATTATGAAGGCAAACGCACTGCAAAAATTAGGTTCTTCTTGTTTTACCAGTACGGACACCTAAACAGTATTAAATCAAGAGGCATTTACTGCAGACGCAAAATGACCGATTTTTCTGAAAAACGTGTCAAAATCAATTACGATTAAACTTAAAACGTGAACAAATATGTCATATATATATATCAACCTAACAGTTAATAGTCCTCATTGACTTCCATAGTATATTGTTTTCTCCATACTATGGAAGTCAGTGGCTACCGGCAACTGTTTGGTTACCAACGTTCTTCAAAATATCTTCTTTTGTGCTCAACAGAAGAAAGAAACTCAAACAGGTTTGGAACAACTTGAGGGTTAGTAAATGATGACAGAATCTTCATTTTTGGCCTGTGTTTGGCCTATGCTAGCAATCTGTTAGCAACATGCTAGCAATGAGCCAAAACATGCAAGCAACTTTTCAAAACATGTTTGCAACTTTTCAAAACATGTTAGCAACATGTTAAAATACGTTAACAATGTGCTAAAACATGCTAACAACGTTAAAATATGTTAACAATGTGCTAAAACTTTGACAATGTGCTAAAACATGCTAACAACGTTAAAATATGTTAGCAATGTGCTAAAACATTAACAATGTGCTAAAACATGTTAGCAACATGTTAAAATATGTTAGCAATGATGCTAAAACATGCTAGCAACATGTTAAAATATGTTAGCATTGTGCTAAAAAATTTACAATGTGCTAAAACATGCTAACCATATAAAAATATGCTAACAATGTGTTAAAACATTAAAAACATACAGGTTTGGAATAACTTGAGGGTGAGTAATTAATGATGACAATATTTTCATTTTTGACTTGTGCTTGGCCTATGCTAGCAATCATGTTAGCAATGAGCCAAAACATGTTTGAAACTTTTCAAAACATGCTAGCACCATGTTAAAATACATTAGCAATGTGTTAAAAATGTCAACAACTAACACATGCTAGTAACTTGTTAAAACATGTTAGCATCTTGCTAAAACATGCTAATCATATTAAAATATGCTAACAATGTGTTAATACGTTAAAAACAACATGCTAGCAATGAGCCAAAACATGCAAGCAACTTGTCAAAACATATTTGCAACTTGTCAAAACATGCTAACAACATGTTAAAATATGTTAGCAATGTGTTAAAAATGTTAGCAACGTGCTAAAAAGATACAGGTTTGGATCAATTTAAGGGTGAGTAAATGATGACAATTTTTCTTTTTGGGTGAACTATCCCTTTAAATCTGATACGTTTTCAGAAAACAAGGCTTTATATTTTAAGTAATTTTGCTTCTTAAGTAAAAGTATCTTGATTTAATAATGTTTAGATATTTTTACTGGAAAACTAAATAAAATGCTGCATAAGAAAATCACTCTTTTCAGTGCATTGATTTCTGGAAAATGAATCATTCATAATAAGACCAGAAGCATGAATTAAGAGAGTGAATGTTCTGATGTCTGTCATTGTTAATGTCATTAGACAAACGCAGGCCTCGTTATCATCAGTGGATTGATTCACTTGTGCTGATTATGGTCTAGATGTTTGTTCATGGATCTGCTCTCATTCTGGTCTGTTTGGAGCAGATTTATCATTTTCCCACCGAATGCAGCCGGTTAGAATCAGGGATCAATGGATCTCATGTTATTCTTCCCAGAAACTCTCACATCAATCCCAGCATGCCTCATTCTGAGCTGACGAAGAGAACAATTAGCACCGGGGGGGG